AATTTTGTTTTCAAATTAAGAACGATGAATCCGTCTTCTTTAACCTAATTTTTTTAATATTTTTATATCATCTTCTTATCTTTCTTTATTTTCTTGTCTAACGGTGACATCAATTTTAATATTGATTATCGACCGTACATGATTATTATTTTTATTATTTATTTTCATATTATGTCTTTGTTTTTTCTTGACTTTTTCACTTTTAAGTAATAATCTTTGTCCTTGTAACATGCTTTTCTATGCTCTTGTGGCACGTTACTTATGGTTTTCGGTAAGTTTTTCACATACTTATGCGCCCGTGTTGGTGCTTCCACAAAGATCCTCATTGCAGTTGTTTTTTGATTGACTTATCGGTGAGGACGTATTGTCAAATCCCCTCTTTTGTAAATGGTTGTTTCCTGATATAATCATAAATGTGTAACGAAGGAGTATGCCAAATTGTTTGGTTCGTTCACCACTCCTTTATCATATCGTAAAACGTATCGTTCGACAGAGATAAGAAGTTTTACGAAGGTTATTGGATTGTTTTGATGTTTGGAAAGTTTCATCCTCTTCGTATATTTGGGTTTAATATTTTTAGTTTATGTATGAGTTTCTGGTGACCATTGTCTCCAATTTTCTCTTTAAATGTGTCGTAATTTTTTGATTCATCCATTTTCATTAATGAAATTCAATTGCCATTCTTTAAAAAAATTAAGAATGATAAATTACCCATGTAATCACTAAACTTTTAGGTCATTTTCACTTTATCATTGAAAAACTTAGATTACAATTATTAAATTTTTAGTTCGCTTTCATTATAACCATTATAGTTAAAATTAATGATATAACACATTAAAATTCTCTTTCAAAATGATTCTAATTTTCCAAATTAAAAGCCATCATAAATGTTAAGTTTTTGATAAGCAGAGTGGCCGTTGATTAATCCCATCAGTGGGAATTCTTCATTTGGTTAGAAGATTAATATAATTTAGTTTCAAGTTGATTCAATGGTTGATAACGACAGATCAATTTTTTTTAATAAATTTAAACAAAAGAAAAGAAATAAAAGAAATAATTCGATGATCTTTTCAACTGAAGTGACCATTGAATGATGACATAAACAATAACAAGGAGGAAGTAACAATTCAGTTGAAACTAAAAGCTAATTTTCCGAACTACCATGATTAAAAGTTGGATTAGCATGGAACCAAATTATGGTAACGTTTTGCTCAAGCAAAACCATTCTATCGTTGGAATTAATTAATGACTGTTTTGTTTATCGAAAACTCGACCTTTGTGGAGATTATTAATTTAAATTTTTTTTAAAAAAAAATGAATATTTACTGAATTTCTTTATTCACTGTGAACAAGATTTTCACATGCATAAGATCATTATTTGTTTGAACTGCATGAACAATCCTTTTTTTTTTTTTACAAACATGAACAATCTGTGTCTTATTTGTATATATTTTTGTTTTTACTATTTTCACCCTATTATCACTGACCTAAAAGTATTATCATGATACAACTATATAAACATGGTGTTATTTTTTTGGTACATAAAGTTTAGGTCAAGGGCGGCATTCTCATCAGGGCATACTTAAGATCCATTTTAGGCACAATACCAAAATTATCCTCCAATATTTACTGAAATGGTTATTTTCCATCCTATTCTTTTTTGGAGGATTTTAGCCCCAAAGTTTCATTTTAGGAAAAAAAGGTTCATAACATTTAATCGAATATACATTTTGGTTCTTATTCTTTTTTATGGAGCATTTTGGCCCTCAATGTTCCATTTTAGTGTAAAAACCCTATTTTAGAGTGTTAATCATTTGTTAACTAATTATTTCCGTACATAGTAGGGCATTTTTGTCCCAAAATGAAACATTAAAGGTCAAAATATTTTAAAAAAAGAATAATGGGTAAAATGACAATTTTGATATACGATGAGAGATAATTTTAGTATTATGCTTACTTTTTAATCACGCAAGAAGGGCTTCCACATCACGTGTGAGCTTGGTCATTCAGCCACTGATTTTTTACTCACGTTTAGACCAGTCAACCCAACCTTTCAAGACTCGACCCAGGAATTGGAAGGAGCCAACCACAAATCAGAACAGAAAGAAAGAGAAATACAATCCTCCGCACTGTTAGTGCTATCAAATTATGTTTTCTTCAGTTTTTAGGGTTTAATTTTCTTAATCATATTTAATTTTGAATAAAAATAGTTTGGTGACTAAAATGAAACTATAGGAATAATTGGATGACTAAAATGAAGACCAAAAATATTACAGAAGACCAAAATATAACTTTAGGTATGATTTTGAATAAAAATAATAATTAGAGGACTAAAATGAAACTATAAGAATAATTGGATGACTAAATCTGTAGTTTACCCTTTAAACTAATATAAAACTTACTTTTATACCAGTATGATATGACCTATTAGTAGCGAAAATTTATATTGTAATTACCGGTAATTAAACATTGAATACATGCAAAAATCAAATTATTTTAGTAGTTAAATAATCATTGTTATTTTTAAAAGTCTCAGATTCGAATATCAGATATTACAAAGTATTTGACATTAATTTTGTTATTTCGGTCGGCCATTGAATTAGTTCAGTTTGAGAAATGTTAACACTTTTTTTCAATATTTAGTTATCGATTAATTTGGTTTGAAATCTATTAATTAACCGAATTAATCGAAATTATTAAATACTAAATACTCTATATATATTAAATACATATTTTAAGTTCAAACCCGTTAAGAATTAATACTCAATTATTTTTTAACCACACTAGACTCATTAAATAATCAATACCTAACTAAATTTTAACCCAAATCAAAAAAAATATTCTATTATATTCAAATTAATCTAATTAAAAAATTATTAAAAATTCGGTTAACCGATCAAAATAACCGAACTTTATTCGGTTCGATTAATATTTTCAAAAAAAGTTTGATTCGGTTAATGATTAAAGGAATAAAAAAGTTCCGTTAATTCAATTAATGGAAATTCTATTCAATTGGTGATCGAATTAACCGTTTAAACACCTAACATGGGACGTTGTTATTGGTCGTCAAACAAAGATGATTTTAATGCACTAATTAGAATGATAGTCCAAAAATTCAATTCGATCGGTGACCGAAATAACCGTTTGACCACCCTACCTTAGATGTATTTTTTCCTCACATTAATGTAATATGTTGTTGAATAAAAATGATCACACTTTGGAAAGTTGAAACAAACTAAATTTATTTAATGTATAATTTCCCCTTTCCCCAGGCAAGTGTAGAAACCTTGCAATCTTGCTCTAAACTTGTACTACTCTGTTGATGATTATTGTTATACTTTCTGTTATATCTCGTCACTCTGAAGAGATCTTCAAGACGTAATATAAAGCCATAATAACAAATCACCTTATTATCTAACGATCCACATAAGTCATGGAGTAAAATTATTAGACTTTTAATGATTGAAATTCGAATCTTATATTATATATTCAATCTAATTTTTATGCAATAAAAAAGATGATCAAATACTCGAAAGACAAAATAAAGTACCTTAGATTATCAATTTCGAGCCTAGTCCAAACAAACAAAATTCAGGATTTTACGGCTTCCTCGCCTATGTAGGGCGTTGGAATTTTTTTTCCCTATATAGGAAGGACTCTATCCAAAATTATTTCTTGAACTGAGTATTTGTTACAGTGACCTCATTGGTCACCAAGTGCTCCATAGATCGCTAAGTGCTACTTGTGACAAAGTCTCTTCTGTTGCAGCAACTCTTCTCTCTTGCCTCGCTGTTACAGTTCCATAGGTCGCCGTGTGCTTATGGAGACCTATAGAGGTCGCCATGTGCTCCTGAAGACCTATGGTGGTCATTGTAGCAATCAACATACTTAAACAAATAATTATTCGACTGCACTATGTGAAGAATTTTTTTTCATTGCATTATTCAAACACTTTTGCCGGATTTTACATACTGACACGTAGGGTCCAAGTCCAACTAAATGGACCGACTAAGATTTGATTGTATCTTTCATATTATGGACTATGTAATTAAGGTTTATTTTACATCTAGATAAATAAAATATATGGAAGTGGTTTGTCCGGGGTACTATTTCAAAGTTTAAAGTATAAATGATTATTTATTTCTCTGTATATCAATTGTGCATTTTACCAAAGTAGTCCACCGGTGACAGCTAGCCTGCCATGATATATAATTAAAGTAGGTCCACGGTAGATTACCCACAGTAATTATTGCATGGCTAATTTAATTTTGTAAATAGGACCACAATTGGAAAATTAAATATTTGAAGATTTTCACCTGAACTTGGGTTTCTGATGCGAAATTAAACACAACTTATTAACTTGTTTTTATGATAGGAGGACCCGCTTACCAATATTAATTAAAGCGTTGTTGAGTACTGGCCGCTGAATATCGAGAGTAAAAAATGCCACCAAATTGGGTGAAATATTTTAAGCTTAAAATTGTAGTAGTTATACCAATACTATATACGTGGACAGTAAAGTTTTGATGGTTTTACGAGAGAGCAATAAACAAGTTTGTTGATCACTTAACAATGAAGAAAATGGCCTACTAACTACTTTTGAAGGGTTTTTTTATTCCCTCCGGTTCTGAAGTTTCGTCCTGTTTAATTTGGACCAACCTGTATCGCATATTTAGTTTTGGTGAATGAATCTTTCGGTGGAGATTTTCTGCACACAACAACTAGAACTTGAAACCTTACTTAAACGATATCCAACTGCTTATCACTTAAACCAACTCGTTGATAACACTGGCCTACTAACTTCTAACCGTAATATTTTAAGTTTAAATTAAAATAATATTTGTTTAAATTAAAATAATTAACGGTGGATCCAATGTAACTTAAGCAGCAGTAAACTTTCTCTCACTTCTTTTAACAGTGGAATTTGTATATATAAAGATTGCTGAGCTCTGTCCACTGCCACTGGGCTGACCTTTAAGGATTTAATTCTGCAACCAATTCATGGAGTTGGATCTTGAAAACCCTTTGTTAAATTTCAAGTCTTCCCTCTTCCAGGTTGAATCCGATCATATGCCCACACAGAATTACATAAACACTCTGGAAGGTTGTCGTCTTCATATTTCGCTCAGACGAGAAGTTATCTCTTCAATCTCACAGGTATAAGTATTCAAGTAACTCGATAGCCATGTTACTGTGTGTTCATTTTCACTGATGCTGGATTTGCTTTCTGGTTAGTTTCAGTTTTCTTGCAAGCTAGGTCCCTTTTCATCGTACCTTGCTGTCAATTATCTTGACCGATTCTTATCAAGCCATGGAAAACTGGGGCTGCAGCAACCTCAGACATGGGTTTTGAGACTTGTTGCAATCTCTTGTGTCTCTTTAGCTGCAAAGATGACCGGAGCAGCGTTCGCTTTCGTCGACTTTCAGGTAGATGGGGGCTTCGTGTTTGATGCACTGACAGTAGAGCGAATGGAGTACTTGATCTTGGGGGCATTAAAATGGCGACTGCGTTCGATTACTCCATTCTCTTTCGTCTCATTTTTCATTTCATTGTTCAAGCTCAAAGAAGTTGCAGTAATTCATGCCATTAAAGCTCGTGCTGTTGAAATCATCTTCAAAGCTCAAATCGGTATGTTGGTCTGCTTCGCTAAATATGCCAAAATCTGTACTTATACTTAGCCATTGGGCGTAATTAACAGATACAAAGCTTTTGGAGTTCAAGCCATCGATAGTTGCAGCATCGGCACTTCTCTCTGCTTGCCATGAACTTTTTCCCTTGCAATTCCCCAGCTTTAGAAAAGCAATTTCCAGTTGTTCATATGTAAATAAGGTAAATAATATAGTTTTCCATTGCACATTGCTTTGAACATGAAGATCATGACTCCCCCCCCCCCCAGGGGTTAACAGCTAATTGGCTGCAGGAAAACATGATAAAATGCTTCAATTCGGTGCAAAAGATAGCCAAGGAGGGCTACGGGTCAATATTAGATATGGTTTCGAAATCCAACACGCCGGACAATGTGCTTGACCGGCATGTTTCCTGTTCGGGAAGTGAAATGAGCACCGCCAGTGCAACCACCGTAACTTCCATAACACAGAGAGACATAAAGAGAAGAAAAAGTAATGATTACGGAACAATTATCAAATGCTCCACTTCTCTCAGGTCCAAATCAAAAGTTCTAATCCATGGACCATTGTAAGAGTGACAAATAACCATAGCACTAGCTTTCTTTCTGCAAATAACAGAGGAACAGAACAAAAAAGAACTGGGAAAATGAAGATGAAGGAATGAGTTCCAGAGATGAATATGGGAGCTCGCAGTTTCGTTCATTGCTACTGGCTATGGTATGCCCCAATCTCTACTGTTTGCTTGAAATGGAGGGAGGAAAAACCAAAAGATCGAATTTTGCTTCCTTTTGAGTTTTTCTTCTTCTTTTTCTGTGGTCTGCCATTTTGCTTTTAGGCTGCAGACAAAGACAAAAACATAGGAAGCTGCTTGTGCTCTTGGAGGTCTGCATGAAATAGACGTCGTCTCCAATCTCGTGTGTCGTAAAGTATAATACGTACTTCTTTAATCACAAAAACAATAAAATTATTTCAATTGTTGTATGTGAAAGAAGGTTCGTGGAATGTGTTCTGTTCACTGTCTGGGGCCTACTGCCATGTTAGCGACAGTGATTAACTGCAAAATTCCAAACCTCTGCAATCAACATACTGCGCAGTTGCATGGAAGCCGAGAGAAATGAGGGGGGGGGGGGGGAGAACTCTAAAGGCCACAATTATACATATTGATATAACTTGCCACAATTATACATATTGATATAACTTACCATAATAAATGAGCAACATCGCGCCAACGGCTCCCACGGTTTGACTCGAAATCATGAGCTGAAGTTCATAAAAGCTCGTAAAGACTCAAAATTAAAAAAAACTTAAACTTAACTCGATTAAAGCTTTAAACTCAAACCTGAACATTCAATACATGAAAACCTTATATTGTATTTTTTTTAAAAAAAATCAACACATAAATGTTAATATTAATAATAGTTTATTTTTTTTAAAATAAAATCTTAATATATTATATTTTCGAGCTGCTCGCTCACGAGCTTTTCGAGTCGATTATCAAATAACTCATTTCGGCTTGTTAAGAATTCGAGTCGAGTATTTATCGAGTTTTGACCGAATCGATTTCAATTAGCTCGCGATTTGTCTTGTCTCATTTACAGCCCTAGTCCTTGGTGCTGAATCCTTGACGCCTAATGTTTTCCTTCAAACTGTTATCATTGAATTGATAGTCGATCATTTTTCTAAGATTTTATGTTAAAAGAATAATTTTTAAAATTTTAAGAGAGACGAAAATATATTATCATCAGAAAATATATAATTATTTGAAATTGTTAGAGAGACGAACCTCCTATCTGCTCTGCCTCAATCTATCTCAGGGTGCAAGATGTCACAAATCACAACCTCACCTGCACAGTTACGAATAATGATCCCCGGAGTGGCTAAATGTAAGGCACCTAGAAAGCCCGCCTCAACACTAGACTTACTAAATTATAAGCACGAGCCACGGGGGACCGTAGTGGTGTTCTGTGTCCCTCTCATGCAACGCTTTGTCACGAGCATTCCAGAAAACTAAAAATTATCCGATTAGTCAGTCAATTATCGAGTCTATTCTTTTTTAGTCATTAATTAAAATTCTTGTAAATTTAATTGATAACGTTACAAATTATTTATGTTTAATCACCGGCTGTTAAGATGATAGTAAAATTGTTGATGTGAATGTTTATAAATGAACGTAATATTTAGTCTTAAACATATATACAATATAACAATTTGATCTTAATTTTAAATAATTTAATAAACTTAACTCTTCATATTTATAAATTTTAACAATTTAGTCCGAAAAACTCCTTCACACTTAGAGCGCCAGGTCCTGACCGATTTAATATGGATTTTTTAAAGAAATTCTGGCATGATCTAGAAAGCGAAATTATGAGCATCTTCGTCGATTTTTTGAGAGGAAAAGTGTCTGACCCTTCATTTCAATTATCCTAAAGAAGCCAAACGCTGAGTTTGCGGAGGATTTCAGACCAATTTCTCTACTGAGCAGTATTTATAAAATAGTGGCCCAAGTTATTTCCAGAAGGCTATCAGGGTGTATAATTGAGGTCCCTGGCGAACCACAATTTGCCTTTGTAGCCTGGAAATAAATTTCTGATTGTGCTCTAATAGTAAACGAAATTATAGACGATCTTTCTAAAAGAAGAAGAGAAGCGGTGATTTTAAAAGCTGATTTTAAAAAGGCATACGACTCGTGGATTGGAAGTTTCTCGATTTGATAATGTCGAAGATGCGTTTCGGAAGTATGTGGAGGAAATGGATGAGTCTGTCTCTCTCAATCGCTTCTATCTTTGTGTTGATAAACGGATCGCCTTCAAGTAACTTCAGGATAAATACAGGACTAAGGTAAGGCTGTCCACTAGTCTTTCTTATTTAATCTTGTCGGTGAAACCTAGGGATGGCAATAGATCTTGGATTCAATCCGAATCTGTAGATTTAGATTTGTTTTATAGGGTATGGATTCTAAAATTTTATACCCGATAGATTCAGACTGAATCTAGCTCCTCTGATTAAAGTACAGATCCGGATCTGGACTTAACATTGAGATATTAGATTTGTACTAATTTTCCCGTTTATAGAAAATCTCACATTTGATTTTAATATATTTATTTTATAGAGGGAGATGCATGCGTTCTTATAGGATTGAGTTCTTATAGATTTTAAATTCGACTTGCGACAATAGAATGTTTCATGATCTATATATTTTTTAATGTTTGTATTATTCAAAAGACATTTGTGTAATTGTGTGGAGTTTTTTTGAGACTTTAGTTTATCGTTTTTTATTTTATTACTAGTTGTATTGAAATTAATATTTCCTCAATTGGAGATGTGATATGAAATTAGTCAATGTCAGTTTTATTACGTTAAAAATACGTCGAATGATCGTTTTTTAACATATACGTTTTAGACCTAGATCTATGAGATCCGTTGAATTTGGATCTGGGTCTTGATATTCTAGACCCGCGGATCTACTGGAAGTCAAACTCTTGAACAATCACATGTGCATCCAAACTTAACAATAAAAAAAAATATGTCGGCAAGATTTAAGGTGGTCCCATAAATCACAAGTGTGGCAGCAATAAAACAAATGGCAGCAGCTACAAAAAAAACAAATTGAAGATAAGCACAAGCAAATTCAATCACGCGGCTAGAATATTTTAGAAACAAACATGAGGCGGCAACGAGAAATTGAGAAGCATCCAGAGTAAGTTAAGTCGGTTTAGTTTTCCTATATATACGTGTAATTTGTAGCAAAGGGTGTGTGTGTGAGTGAGAAAAGCAAAGTACGAGTGGGAGAAAAAATTAGAGAAAATTGAGAGAGCTTAGCAAAGCATAAAATAGTGAGGTTGTGTTTGTAAACTAGCCGCAGCTAGTATTGCAGTATTGTAATATTGAGAGTGTCGTTGTAAAATATTTTGTTTCGTATCAATAAAAATTTCTGAGAGTTATAAATTATTGTGAGCTCATCTACGCTTCCAGCAAGTGGCCTCAGCGCCAGGTTCGAGTTCAACGTGGTGGAGAAGATGACCAACATGATTCAACCACAAATCCCGAGATTGACAAAGACAAATTATGGAAATTGGAGCATTCAAATGAAGGCGTTACTAGGCTCCCAAGATTGTTGGGATATCATCGAGGATGGTTACACCGAGCCTGAAAATGCAGCAGCAGAAGCAGTCCTGGCCAATGAAGAAAAGAAGGTATTGAAGGAATCCCGGAGAAAAGATAAAAGAGCGTTGTTCTTTATTTTTCAAAGGAGTAGACGAATCTACCTTTGAAAAAATTTCTGATGCAAAGACCGCAAAACAAGCATGGGAGATTTTGCAAAAATCTCTACAAGGTGCCGAAAAAGCAAAGAAGGTACGCTTACAAACTCTCAGAGCTGAGTTTGAGATGCTAAAATGAAAAATACAGAAAATATCGATGATTATATTAGCCGTGTGAAAACGGTCGTAAATGAAATGAAAAGAAATGGCGAATCACTCGACGATGTTAGAGTGATGGAAAAAATTTTGCGGTCATTAACACGAAAATTTGATTACGTGGTGGTGGCAATCGAAGAATCAAAAGATTTATCCCAGATATCGATCGATGAGCTTGTGGGTTCACTTCAAGCCCATGAGCAGAAAATAACACAAAATGAAGATTCTGAAAATTTGGAGCAAGCTCTACAAAGCAAGATGAATGTCAACGAAGGAAAAGCTAGCAGCAGCTACACACAAGGACGAGGAAATCGTGGTGATTATCGTGGAAGATATAGAGGAGGACGAGGAACTCGTGGACGTGGTGGTCGATCATATAGCACCGATCAAATGAGTGAAAGCAATCCAACATCAGGTCGTGGACGAGGATTCAGAGGCCGAGGTAGGGGCAGATATCAACAAGGAAGTAAATTCCAGGTACAATGTTATAATTGCAATAAGTATGGTCATTATAGTTATGAGTGTAGATCTGCTCCTAAACAAGAAGAAAGAAATGACGTAGCAGCAGCTGAAGAAGAAAAAATTGAAAAATCTCACGTATTCCTCACTTATAAAGGAAATGAAGAATTCAAGAAAAATATTTGGTATCTTGATAATTGTGCCAGTAACCATATGTGGTCAAAGGGAATTGTTTGTGAAATTAGATGAAACAGTCCGTGGATGAGTAACGTTCGGAGATGACTCGCACGCAGAAATAAAAGGAAAAGGCAAAGTCATGATTACTCAGAAAAATGGAGAAAAGAAATATATTTCAGATGTTTATTATGTACCTGCTTTGAAAAGCAATATCATCAGTCTTGGTCAACTCCTGGAAAAAGGATATGAAGTGCAGATGAAGAATCGCTCGCTCGCCATCAAAAATAAAGAAGGAGAATTGATAGCCCAAGTTGATATGACTCGAAATCGTCTCTTTACAATTGATATCGAGTCAGGAGAAGTAATGTGCATAAAGACCGCGATCAAAGATGATTCATGGCTATGGCATCTAAGATATGGACATCTTGGATTTTCTGGATTGAAGCTGTTGTCAAAAACAAGCATGGTGAAAGGACTACCAGAGATCAACCCTCCAAATCAATTATGTGAGGCTTGCATCAAAGGGAAGCAACATAGACAAAGCTTTGAAGTTGGTAGATCCTGGCGTGCCCAAAGACTGCTGGAGATAGTACACACAGATATAGCCGGTCCTTTTGACATACCATCACTTGGCGCTAACAGGTACTACCTAACTTTCATTGATGATTTTAGTAGAAAATGTTGGATTTATAT